AGAAGCGGCGGGCGAGGCCCGGAGCCCGCGAGTTCGGGGTCCGGTTCGAGTCTTACCATGATGAGGGCGGTGGTGGGGCGCAGCCCGCGCTCCGGCTCACTGGGGATAGGGCTTTGGGGGGGAGAGGTCCAAGCAAGGGGAGCACCGGCCGCTCGGGACCTGCTGCCCCCCTGACAGGAGCGGCCGCCGCTTCGCCTCTAGCCAAGATGGCGGCCCGGAGCCACGTCTCCAACCGGAAGCCGCGCGGGTCAAAGGGCGGAGGGCGGGGCCTGCAGGCTGGTTAGCTGGACTACCCGGACGCCGCCGCCGCCGCCGCCGCCGCCGCGGTACCCGGGCCCGCAGGCCCCGAGCGCTGCAGCCTCCCGCCGCGGGCCTGCCCTGGATCCTGGTCCTGGGTGTCGCCTCTTACAGTGCACGAGGCCATTAAAATAACATGCAAAAAAACCCAAAACCAAAACAACATCTATTGTGCACATCAGGGACTAGTATCCAGAATATATAAAGAACTCTTAGGACTGTAAAGATGAACACAATGTAAAAAATGGATATAGGATGTGAACAGACATTTCTCCCAAGAAAAGCTACAAATGGCTAATTAGCTTAAAAAAGTTTAACATCTCTATATCATTTAGAAAATTCAAATCACCTCTGTACATCACTTGCTTTTTTCCCCCTGCCAGTCCTGGGTCTTGAACTCAGGGCCTGGGCACTGTCCCTGAGCTTCTTTTGCTCAAGTCTAGCACTCTACCACTTGAGCCACAGAGCCGCCGTTCCTGGCTTTTTCTGTGTATGTGGTACTGAAGAATTGAAGCCAGGGTTCCATGCATGTTAGGCAAGCACTCTACCACTAAGCCACATTCCCAGCGCTGTACATCACCTTTATAATAATTAAAAATGCAAATCAAAACACAGTGAGATATACAACCTCACACCACTAGGATAGCTCTAATAAATTTTGGCAAGGATGTGAAGAAATTGAAACCCTAATATGTCACTAGTAGGATTGTAAAATAGTGTGACTGCTTTCATGATAGAGTTCCAAACATAAAGAGTTTGGGAAAGGCTTCCACAGTTCCTCAAAAAGTTAAAGTTCCTAGATCACTCAGAAAATTCCTATGGTAGGCACATATCTAACATTACTAAAAACATATACCAACACAAAAATGTTTGGTTATAGCAGCATTATTTGTAATAGCTAATAAGTGAAAACAATCCAAACAAATCAACTATCAACAGATGGATGGACAAAGAAAATATAACATAGTCATGAAATTAAGTATTATTTAGCCATAGAAAGTAATAAAGACTCTTTCCCTTTCCTGGTTGCCATTAGATAAGCAGCTATGCTCCATCACAAACCTCTTTACACATTCCCACATTCCCAGCCCCAACACTGAAATCTTAGAAGCTGTGAAATGAAATTAATTATCCTCCTCTTTAAAAAAAAAATGAAAGAAGACTGGGAATGGTGCCTCTAACCTGTAATCCTAGCCACTCAGGAGTCTAAGATCAAGAGGATCAAGGAAGGTTCAAAACCAGGCTGGGGTGGCTGGGAAGGTGGCTCAGTGGTAGAGCGCTTGCCTTGCATGCCTGAGGCCCTGGGTTCGATTCCTCAGCACCACGTAAGCAAAAAGAAAAAAGCCGGAAGTGGTGCTGTAGCTCAAGTGGTAGAGCGCTAGCCTTGAGCTGAAGAGCTGAGGGACAGCGCCCAGGCCCAGAGTTTAGGCCCTATGACCGGACCCCCCCCCCAAAAAAAAAGAAGAAAAAAAGTTTACCAAATGAATAAAGAGCTGCAGAGGTTTAAGGTATAAGCTCAGCAACAGAGAACTTGTTTAGCATGCACAAGTCACATTCTATCCCAAGTGCATACACACCCTCTCCCCCAAAATAAGGAGCTACAGTAATAGGGCACTGGGCACTGTGAAGAGCCCACAAGTGATCATCACCAGCAGCTCTGGAAGAAAAATTACTTCAAAAAAATTACACAAAGTAACATAATAAAAAAAGGAGCAGTTTTATAGAATGACTTACCACTCTTGAAAAGAGCCTAAGTGTCTCCAAATCTTCTAAAATGTTGCTGTTTTTGGTAGTGATCAGTACCATGTACAATTTTTCCATAGGCTGGTAGACATATCTTACACTCTCTGTTTCAACAAATGTATGTTGTTTTCCAGTGTTCATGAGTTTTGGGAAAGCTGCTAATAAACCCTCAATCCGAGTTCTGGTCATCTCCACAAACTGTCGAGAAACAATAGCTTTTCCTGCTTTTGTGCAGACTGCTGCTGCCAAGAGCACCTGCCAGGAACAAAGGTATAAATAAGTGCTAATTACTTCTTCACATCTGTTTTCTCTTCTCAGAAGATCTTCCACAGAGAGAAACTTATTCAGTGATATGTTAGCATACTTTTACTCTAGTTCATTGATTACAGTATGAATGAAATTCATAAAAAGAAGTTAAAGTAGAGGAAAATAAAGCCACTATTCCATTATATACCTATGGAAAAACTTTAAATTTGGAGCTAGTTGTTTATGACTGTAAGCTGAGATCTAAGATTCAAACTCAAAACCAGCCTGGGGAGCCAAGAGCCAGTGGCCCACACCTGTAATCCTACTCAGGAGGCTGGGATCTGAGGACCGCGGTTCAAAGCCAGTCTGGGCAAGAAAGGCCGTGAGACTCTTATCTCCAATTCACCACAGAAAACTGGAAGTGG